AACCTCTTTTACGCTTGATAGCTGGTCCAAGATGTCTTCGATGTCTTTGATTTTATCGGGGTTAACCTCAATCCCCCTTTATGACACCAGAAATCCCAGGAACTTGCCGGAGCTGACCCCGAACGCACACTTCTCGGGGTTAAGCTTCATATTATGCTTTCTTGGGATGTCAAAAATTTCTTGCAAGTATTTAAGATGATCACCTGTGTTCAAAGACATAACAACCATATCATCTATATAAACTTCCATGGTTTTCCCTATCTGTTTTTCAAACATCTTGTTTACAAGCCGCTGATAAGTTGCTCCGGCGTTCTTTAGCCCGAAGGGCATCCCATTATAGCAATATGTGCCGAAATTCGCTATGAACGGAGTTTTTTCCTGATCCTCTGGGTTCATATTAATTTAGTTGTACCCGGAGTAAATATTGTGGAAACTCATTAACTCATGCCCGACCGTTGCATCAATAATCTGATCGATGTTTAGCAATGGGAACGAGTCCTTTGGGCACGCCTTATTCAAGTCCTTTTATTCTACACACATGAGAAATTTATTATTCTTCTTAGGAACTACTACTATATTAGCTAGCCAGTCCGGATACATTACCTCTTGGATTGAACTGATATCAAGTAGGCGAGTTACCTCTTCTTTGATGAATTTATTTCTGGCCTCAGCAATAGGACGCTTTTTCTGTCTTACCTGAGGAATGTTAGGATCTAGGCTTAGCTTGTGTACAGCCACTTCCGTTGGGATACCTTTCATATCAGCGTGCGACCATGCAAAACAATCGACGTTAAATTTAAGAAATTCAATAAACCCAGACTTGAGCTTGGGATGCAGTCCTGTCCCCAAGTGGAATTTCCCCTCCAAGAACTTTTCGAACAATGCGACTTGCTCAAGCTCTTCCGCTGTGGACTTTGTTGCGTCAGTCTCTTCTGGTACCTGGAAATATCTTGGCACCTGATAAGATACCGATGCCTCTTCCCCCTGGTTGACTTCGCTTGACTCGGGAGCAGGCGCCGGTTCCTGTAATTGATATGCCGCATGTTCCTTCCCTTTGCTACTGGAGACCGAAATCGCATTCATCTCCCTTGCCGCCAGTTAATCGCCTTTTATCTGTTTAATCCTCTCGGGAGTTGGGAATTTCAGCAACTGATAATACGTCGATGGTACAACCTTCATCTCGTGCAACCATGGTCTGCCCAAGATAATGTTGTAGCCCATATCATCATCCACCACCTCGAAAAGGGTCGTCTTCATCACCCCCTCGGTATTCGTAGGCAACAGGATCTCTCCTCGGGTTGTCACGCTTGCTAGGTTGAACTCGGTGAGGAGTTTTATGGCCGGAATGATGCTTCTGGTAAGTTTAGCTTGCTCTAATACCCTCCATTATATAATATTGGCCAAACTCCATGGATCCACCAGAACACGTTTGATTTTAAAATCTAATACATTTAAAGAAATTACCAATGCGTCGTTGTGTGGTAGCAACAATCCATCTGCATCTTCCTCCGTGAAAGTTATGTCGTCTGCAGTGACTTCCCGGAGTCTCTTGCTTTGGGTTACTGATACCTTCATCTTTTTTGCTGCCGAGAAGGTAACCCCGTTAATCTCGTTCCCCCAAAAAATCATGTTGATCGTTAGGCACGGGGGATCTTCTCCTGCTTTTGAGGGCTCTATGTTGTCACTATTACGAACGTAATTTTTTTTTGGCTCGGTCACTTAAGAATTCCCTGAGATGGCCATTTTTCAGCAGTGTCGCCACCTCTTCGCACAGATGTCGGCAGTCCCCAGTCTGATGACCTTTAGTCCTATGGTATTCGCACTACAAATTAGGATCCCTCTGGATGGGATCGGACCTCATTGGCTTCTGGAACTGTGCTTCTTTGATGTTCCTCATAGCCGATACCAACTCTACTACACTAACGTTGAAGTTGTATTCTGAAAGTCTGGGGTAGGAAGGATCTTGAGAACCTGACGTTTCCTTGTCCTATAATGACCTGTTATTCCAGTTGTGATCAGTTCCTCTATCGGTAACGAACCTGTCTGTCGACCGGAAGCCTCTGCCGTATCTTTTAGCCCGTTCATAGGGCAAAAACTAGATCATAGAAGACCGTCTATCTATGTCAAAATTATTTTTTGATTTCTCTTTATTCTTCTCCCGACCTTTAACTGATGCCGGGAAGTCGAACTGATCATCCTCAATCCTTATATTTGACTCGTACCGGTGGTGAACATCCGCCCAAGTCGTTGTTTAAAACTCGAGCAAGATTTCTTTAAACTTCCGGGAAGCATTAGAACTTATCGGATTCAAACCCTTGGTGAATGCTTCAGCCGCCCATTCATCTGGAACGGCCTGGAGCAACATCCTTTTCCTTCTGGAACTGGGTTACAAATTCCCGCAGCAACTCAGACTCTCCTTGTGCAATTCTGAATATGTCGGCCTTCCGGGCATGCACCTTTTTGGCCCCGGCATGGGCCTTAATGAAAGAATCTACGAGCATCTCGAAAGAGTCTATTGAATGCTCGAAAAACAGCGAATACCACGTTACTTCGTGAGAGTCTCTCCAAATGTTTTCAGCAAAACTAATTCAATCTCGTGGGGAGCTAAATCGTTCCCCTTCCCCGTCATTATATAGGTGGTGATATGCTCTTGAGGGTCTGAATACCCATCATATTTCGGCACGTCGGGCATTTTAAACCTCTTCGGGATTAATTCTGGTGTTGCGCTTGGTTTGTATGGCAATTGAGTGTACTTCTTTGAGTTCGGTCCTTTCAGCACCGGTGGTGCAACTAGAATTTGGTCCATGCGGGCGTTCACTTCCCTTATAAATCATATGAGTTCGTTTTTGAAGGGATCGCTCTCGTTGTTGTGACTATATCTGCTCCCCCCAGCCCCATCAAAGCCGACCTCGCCCCTCGGGGTATTGTTGTCGACCCTCTGCGTTATCTGAGTTACGGGAGCACTAGGAGGAGTTGGACCTCGTCCATTCCCATTATTGGAAGCACCCGATAACCCCTGCTTTAACTTTGTCATAACCTTATCCTGCCGTGTGAGATGGCCTAGAATGGTCTCTTGTTGCTCATGCAGGACCCTTACCGCTTCAACGACGTGCTCCTCTTCAGCATCATCAGGAGTCGCCTCCCGAACATGTCGCGGGTACCTCCTGTCGTGGACTGGTGTGGCCTCGTTCCTCTCACTACGGGTATCACTGATTGAATCCTCGTGCTGAGGCTAATTTCCTTGGGCCTCAAGGTTGTGTGTGTTGTTAGCACCATTACTTGTCATTTTTTATGATTTTTTGCTAAGATCAAATGATCAAACACGTTAGTAAAAGAGGTAAGGACCAACTTAATTACACAACTGTCTAGGTCCCACGGTGGGCACCATATTGTTTACCCGTAAAATGATATAATTGAATTTGTATGTGATTTCTAGATAAGTGAATTAATTTGATCCTGAAATAATAGATGAATTAGATAAAAATATAATACTTAGCCTTGAGATGGAGACAAAATAGCAGAAATAGTAGTTCCGAGAGCAGGGCTTCCAGGCACAACAGCAATAATATCCAAAAACAAGAGGATAAAATTATATTAAGCTTTGAATAGAGTATAGCATATGTTTGCCAGAAAATTCGTGTCCTTTACAATGATAATAGAGCTCACTATTTATAGCTGCACCTAGGGAACAAGGTCCTAGGATCAAGCCCTTCTTTAACAAATAGAAGAATGTGTAACGGCCGGTAATGAATGCCATATTTCTTGTAACAGGCAATATTGTACTTAATGTTGTAGAGTATTCTTCATTAAATGCTACCGGGTGGCAGACATTTATTTTATCTTTATGAATATCATTCGCTCCGATAACAGACGGGGTCGTTGTCTTCGGTTTCAGCTATCTTCTGTATTCGGCTCCACGTGTCACTTTCCCATACGATCATTTAATATAACACATTTTACCCTATACAGAAACAAAACAGGTTGAGAAAGATAATGATTTCTAAATGCCGACAGACATTGAAAAAAGAAAGAGGAAAGGAATCTAGAAAATGAATAAGCAAGTGTAATATGAGAAGGGTTGCAGTGGAATAGTTGGAATCTATCCGTTCTTAATAAGAGGTCACGATTGAAAACTGAAAACTTTTTGATAAGGAATGTTTTACCTCTCATAAGAGATCTTTTCAGCACGATTCTATATTAGTCGGATCAATGAATTCCGGATATCGAAGGGTTAAAAATCAAAAAAGGTTAATAAGCTGGTGCGCTAGGATCTGAATTTGAATTTGTTTTTGGAAAAAATAGAGCAATTAATCCACGTTGAATCTCGATTTTATTTCATCCATTATGTAGTTAATCTTGAATTCTTAACTAATTTTGCATTGAAATATACTTTCACGTTTGTACGTTCAATTCTAGAACCTTAGTGTAAAGGGAATATTGAAGGTGTCTCTTTCTCCCAAGTTTGATTTGCAAGGTCATCAGCCTACCTAGTCATACTATATAACTTGCGACCTTGTCGCCTAAATAATAATCCATTTAATCTCTTAAACTAAAAATAGACAGCAGAAGTATAATATATATAATTTATTGTATAAATATGTATAATAATCTATGTATACAGATTAAAAAAAAAAAAAGTAAACAATGAAGTTGACACTATTTATATAACAAGCCCACTTTAAGTTTGTTTTTTTAAAATAAATTTAGAAACTCCGAGTGACCCCACATGAAGCTTTGCAAATTCTCTTTCTCGCTCGAGGCCATTCTTTGTTCGTACGTACACAATGTAAGAAAACAAATTGACTGGTGATTTTTTTTATTTATTTATTTTTGGCTTTCTTTAATTAAATATTAAGCTTCTCAATTTTTTGGCTTCCCTGTTTCTCTATGTTTTTTATCATATTACATTCTCCCTAACCTCAACTATGCTTAAAACGCAAAACAGTATTGACACATAAATAATTAGCATAGGAAACTCAATATATATCAAGCATGTTATGTACTATAAACTCCACAATACGTCATTTATTACTCATTTAAAATGTGATAATACAACGAAAAGAAGGCATGCAACTATCCTTCCCTTCTAACCAATTAGAATACAATATACTTCCTTTGAAAATACAAGAAAACTATAAGCATACAAAACACCAAACACACTGAAAGAAAAATATATAAAGCGTAAATTTTCTGAAAGAGACGAAATTTGGCTAGCTAGTTTATGCGCATTGGAAGTCCTTAGGAACATACTTTCCACAGTTGTTGAGCAACAAACTGAGGGAAAGAGGTACGTTGAGGTTAATTCCCAATAAATTGGCTTTAATTGCAGTGCAAAGGCAAACAGCGGCATCAAGATCAGCAAGTCCATGAATTAGAGAACAACATGGAGTCTTGGCTGGATCACTTCCAATAACAAGGTGCACTAAGTCATTCAATAAGTTAGCACATACTTTTAGCTTAAGTGTGTCCTTTGAGCACTTACCCTTTGATGATGGGGTGGGGCTTAGGGGTAGGGTGGGGCTTGGAGTGGGGAGGTGGTGGGCATGGGACATTAGTGGAACTAACCATAGTGAAGAAGAGAATGTTCAAAGTGAGAAGAAGGGCAATGGAGGATATAGCAAACTTAGCCATTTCTAAGAGTTAAGTAATTAGCACTCTCAACAATTGAATGTGGCTAATTAGTGAAATGATGTTTGCTTGGTGTTTGAAATGAATGGAATGAGTAGGTATTTATAGATGGAAATGCTTGATATATTTTGCAATTTTTGACAATTTTCTGAAAGAAATAGAGAAAATTGAGTGGCCCATGTGGGGGGGTATTGTGGTACGAATATAAAGAATATCAAAACACTGCTACAAAACTTGAGATAATACTATTATGGATTTTAAACTTTGGAATTTTGTGAATTTCATTAATTTTTATTTTTTTCTTCCTTGAAGAAAACAAATTTATCCTTCCATTTTCACATGGGACTTACATTATTCTCCTTAATTATTTGAACATGCTGGACCTGAGACAAGATATGAATCCATCAAGATATATTAATGAATATGTTCACTTTGGAAACAAAATAGTAACAATGTAGTCTCTTTGTTTTAGTACATATATCTTAGGGTAAATATAACAAAAGAAGACACGGCAAAATTACTTGGACCAAAGTTGTATACCAAGTAATTTCTTTCTTTTATAATATTCTTGATATTTATATGCTATTGTTTTTGTTTGCTATTATTTCATTAAATTAAAAAAAAAAATCTTATATCATAGCTTATATGACTATCAAAAGATGTGGTGAGATGGCCGGAATCTCTCCGCCCTCACGTTTATTTACTCACAGGTCTACTAGGCTTGATTCGTATTAGTCGAGTAAATGGATTTCAAGTACTGAATGGTTAAACCAAAAACTAACTTTATGTAAGCAATTTTCCTCATTCTAGTATACGACACAGTACTCATTCTGAAACTAGCTAGAGGATGTTAGTTGAGATAAGAACTCATTTCCCATTCTTTTGTGGCGACTCATCATTAGAAAAAAGAAGAAAAAAGCATTATGATTGAAGATCTGAATTGTGGTTATAACTCCTACCCATTCTTTCGTGACGATTCGTTATAAGAAAGAAGAAAAAAGAAAACATTATCTTAATTGAGATTAAAAAAAATTAAACTAGCTTCTTCCCATTCTTTGGTGACAATTCGTCATTAGAAAGAAGAAAAAAAAGGTGTTTTGATGCGTATAAATTTATAATCTTACCATGTATAGGTAATTTTTGACCATAATGCTACTAAATATAGTCTGATATATTAATAATAGAAAATTACCTAACACTAAACATAAAGTAATAGCTCCAAGCACACAGGGCTAATATTCCGTAAAGCCAGAATGACATGCGATTGCTAAGTGATATCACGGATTAATAATATGCTAATTGAATAATCAAGATTAACAACACGTTAATTAGAAAAGAACAATTTGAGATCGTCGGCCATGTGAATTTTTTTCCAACCAAAAAAAATTAAGAACATTCTATTACAAGGGAGGATTAATTAAGGGAAAGGACGGAGAGAATTGAATCTGCACATATTATTTGAGACTACCACTTGCATACTAGAATATAATCTTTTGTGATAATTGAACCAATATCTATTATTTGAGACGGTCATTGTACGACTAAATTATAAGTTTTGGTCGTTGCTTGTGTAATTATGTCAGGACTGTCATTGTACGACTCCACTTTTTAATGTTATTATTAAGAGGCGAATTCAGGATTTGATGATCGAGAACATGTTACATTCAATATAAATTTATCAGTATTTATTAAAATTGGTGTGGGAGCCTCTAACTATTTCTTAAAAATATTTGCAAGTATATATCGATTTTTTGCCGAAATTTCTAATTCTAGACTCAGCTTGCATAGACGAGATATTTGTATTCCTCCCATGATGTAATATTCTTCCTTTTCTTCCCCTTATCCCAAACAGTTTTCCTTCTGTCTCATATTATGTGTCGTGTTTCTTTTTTACATGTCCCTTAAGAAATACTCCCTCCGTTTCAATTTATGTGAACTTATTTCCTTTTTAGTCCGTGCCAAAAAGAATGACCCCTTTCCTTATTTGGAAACAATTTACCTTTATGCAATGATTTATAGCCACACAAAATATATGTGCCTCATTTTACACCACAAGTTCAAAAGTCTTCTCTCTTTTCTTAAACTCCGTGTCCAGTCAAATGAGTTCACATAAATTAAAACGGAGAGAGTGTTAATTAGGAAAGGGATTGGACTATTCTATGTCTGAAGATATAATCTCTCTTCGTTGAATATTTATTTTATTTATGTGTTATTTCTATCTTCAAAAATAATTATTACTAAGGGTAAAAAAGAAAAAAATATTTAATTTTGTCATATACTTTTAAAATAATAAATAATTTAATATAATTATTTTTAATAATCAAGACTGTTAATATGAGAGGTAGGGAGTAACGGTCTTTTTCCAAAAAAAGAAAGTATAGGTTAAGCACAAAGTCCACCACCCATGAAACGCGTTGCAGCGTAGTAACCTATTCGTAAGTCGTCTACTGTGCTCCACTTAAAAGAAAATAAAAGCAAAAGTAAAAAGTTCTGTGAAAAGGATTCAAGATACAGCCAATTACATTCGACCCCATTACCAAAATCAAATCATAGATAGGGATAACTATGACTTCATTTTCAATCAAATGGATCATTTTACATATAATTGTCGCATATTGTAAATCTCCTAAGTCCTATCAATGAGATTAAAACAAGACAAAATAGATATCCTGTCACCTTTGATGACTTCAAGACACGTATTGAGGCATCTTAATTATGCATGAAAACCAAAAAACAGATAGCATAGTGATTTCATGTGGTATACATTAAATATTCAAAAAACAATCTACAACTCGCTACTTCTTGGCTTTGGCAATAATGTTTAAGCCCGTGACTAAAAAGTCCAAAATCTTGTTTATTTTATTTAAATTGTATTATAAGAGCTAATAAATGGCGAAATACAAGTTAAACAAATCATTTTATTTTACACATCCACCGATAACCCCAGCAATAGGAGCTAGTTGGAAAATAGAGTCAATATTTGCGGTTGTTTACTTGGAATTTATAGAACTGGCCACGAGCCACGATCTATCAATTTCACGAAATATACTTCTAAAAATATGAAGAAAAACAAAATTGAGTACCTATATTCGCACTGACCCTTAGGGAAGGCTTTTTATTTTATTGACTTTGCTAATGGTGGAAACCCTAAACAGGGGGGAGGAAAGAAAACCACACGTTCACTCTAAAAGAATTACAGTAGAGTGGACTAATTCTATATTTTGCAAGTTGCAAGAATGAGTTGGATTAACGCGGAAATCAATTTTTTTTTAAAACCAAAAGTCTCGAATATTTTTTAAAATAAAAACAAATGAATGCATTGACTGGGACTTTTGTACCCTAATGAGAAACTTCTGTAGAGTTTTTGGACTTTGAGTAGCTTAATGAAAGAAATATCAAAGATTTTTGTAAGATTGTAAGGAATACTTTGATATGACAAGCAAACCAGGCATAAGAGTTAAAGATACTCAAACTACCGACTCCTTGAGAATGGGGTGTGTCAGATTCAAATTTTAGCAGAGGTAAAAATATTAGGTGATTTTTTTTTATTTATTCGAGTGTTGATAGATAAAATTACTCGATATGGGAGGTAGTAGAAGCACCCCATAAAAATAGTCGTGGTGCGTGCAAGTTAGCCTAACGAGGCACTGTTTACTAAAAACAAGCGGCATTCTACACTGATGGATTCATAAACTCGGAAGAAAAATGCAAGAACACCAACCTGATATCCGAAGATACAACCTTAAAACTATTTTCGAACATGTTGCATTCTAGCCAGTGACTGTATACTCGAACCAACAACCTTAAAACTATATTTTATTTGTTTTATAAGAACGGTGTTCGGGCTACAACCTTAAATCTATTAGTATTTATTTATTTATTGATAACAGCTCTATTCCATCACTAAGCCACATTTTTCGGTGCAAGCTTAGAACTATTTTTGAATAGCCTTTGCTGACTAAACTAGAAGTTTTTCTTATGTCAAAAGAATTTAACAATTTATACATAAACGTTTGTTTTTACCTTTTTTGCACAATGAACTCCCTTTGGACAATGTAGCTCTACCCGGATTATAACTCGGCTTCACCAGACCAAGAAGGAAATAAAATTTGGATAGAAATTCTTCCACGATTGAAGATTGTTACCTCCAATGGTGAAATTATACCTTAAGTGAAGGGGAGTGAAATTGCCCAAATTTTTTAATCTGGTAAAACCGTCCAAAGTTTAAAAGGTGAGATGTTTTATATAATCAACGGCCGGTCACAATAGGTAAAACCTATTTGACCGTCAAAATTGTGGACCAAAATGTGCTAAACGAGATTGATCAACTAGTTGTCAACCCACTATTTGAAGACCCAAAGACCAAGGTACTCAATTCTCTAACTAAAAAATGAAAATAAAGGATGAAATAAAAGATTAAAGAGAATACTTTATGGCCCGATTGTTTAGAAATTGTTTAAGATTTGATCTTGTTATGTGTTAGTTGAGTTATGATCATTTAACACATTTGAACAGTACATATTGATCCTTTTAGGAAATCCATTGCAACCCACCTGATATTTACTCCACTTCTCATTTGATACCCCTAATGAAGGTGTCTCACAGGTCCAAAGCTTTCTAATTAGTATTGAAACTATGTTTTGATATTGCCTTCCCCGTCTGCAGCCATTAACTGGGTAACCATTTTGTTAATGGGGAAGAGTAAAGAAGCATTTTAATTCATCTTCAAGGATTCTTGGTTCGTTTGTGACAGGAAATAGTTTGATAAAGTTTACTTTTCATTCTGTTGTTTCTTTCCCTCCAATCACTCCACATTGACCACAATTCGGCCGTTCTGCGTGGGAAAAAGAGATCAACTGCTTCTAAGTCGAGGTCATCCTCGAATTTGCACCGATGCACATATTTAATTTGGTGGCTCAGTAAAGTAATGAATGTTTTTGAAGATCTTTCTGGCAAAAGAAATAAACAAGAAAATATAGGAAGGACAAAAGAAAACGATAAATTTTGCATGGTGCATCTATTTTGACCCAAATTTCACAATATTTCAAAGACAATTTCTGTTACCCTTTACTAATTACTAAA